TCGCAGGCATTTGAGGAAATAATTTTATTATGAAACTAGCATGGGTCATTGGCAAAGCTACCATAAGATAGTAACTCCATTAAGACATGAAGGACAGTACTCTTACATAGAAGCCTTAGTTTGTGCATTCTTTTTATCTATACTTTATCTGTTGTGGGCCAAAAGTGCTTGTATTCCTGCTTGAAATGATGAATTCTTGTCTTCCTTCCTGTATAGTGTCCTAGAGTTGTACAATGAAACCCTGTTTTTACTGACTCACTTTAAGTCAGTCGTAAGATGTCCAGGTCATGATTCATCCCAAAAGGAAACCACAGCTATCAGCTGTGGCCATGAGTGTGTTTGGTTCCTTACTTCTTGGGTCAAGACGACCTGTAACCATTAATTCTGTTGTATAAAAGAAAGCTGTAGCTCATAAAAGTTTACTTCTGAGACTGCTCAGTGTGGGTATAAAACAGACTGGAGTTGAGTCAATATGCTTATCTGTGCATGTAACTAACTGTTGTTAGGAAAGACAGTTGAAAGTTTAAATATTATGGGTGTGTTTTGAAACAGCAGTGCCAAAGAAAGTAATGCTGTTCCAAAATCTTTCTTTGCTGTAGAACTATTTGAGAGACTGCTGAGAATGAAAACTGCAGTTCAGCCTTCTATGTACAAGCATTTGCTTCCATGGCCTCTTCTGTTGTGTTCAAAAAGGAGTTTCCTGTCTGTGCAGGGAGTTGGTTGGCAACCTTACTTTTTTTTACAGTCCTCTAGATAAAATTGTAGCTTAATATTTTCAAAGTAGTTGAAGTTTTTAGGGACCTGCTTTCTTTTAAAAAAACAGATGTTAATTGGATGTTAATTGCCTAAGACCTCTTCCAGGTTGCTACTGTAATTTAATTTTTAAATATGACTTACTAAGCTGAGGTTGAGAGAATTTGGGAAAGTATTTTTTAATTGATTTGTTTTCTTCTTTTTATTACTTTATCACAACACTTTGTTTTGTGAGTGGATAATAAGATTATTACAGTTACTGGTTTTGATATCATAAAATGAGTCAACAGAAGCTTTTCAAACATTATATGGTTGTAATATGTCAAGGGAGAGTTTGAATGTTAATACTTTCACGTTACCTGGAATAACACTTTACCAGGTTCTTGCAAGGCCAGGTTGTCAGATGTTAATAGGTTAATGTTTAAATTATGGATCTGCTCTGCAAAGTGACAGTGCAAGACAATATCTGGTTTAGTCAGCTGTTCTACTTCATGTGCATTCAGATATTTGCTTTGTTTGGTGACAAAGTGTTTACTTTGTCAGGTACAGTATGCATTTTGTTCAACACTGGACATTAGCATTTTATGGTGTCCATCTGTACCTTGAAAAAAACTTGAGAGGCAATCAAGTCAAGCAGGTGTACGGAAAGTCCTAGATTGCTTCAGAGTGTGTCTTAACAGTGAACAAAAAAAGGCAACTTTTGTTAATGGTGATTATTTTAAAGTTCTCTGAAGATAAGGGTATTTGGCATGGAATTGAAAGTATACACAAGAAGTGCTGGTGTGCTGCTAAAAGCCACTGAGTGTTCTCAACATGAAAAACTATACTGCTTTTGTATTTCAAAGCAAAAAAAAAATATTTATGTAAACAAGTTAGCTTGAGGTAAAATGGCAATTTGGACAAAGTCCTTCAACAACACAAGCTTTGAATTTGTTCTAATTAATTCCAAATCTTCAAGTTGCCATGCTTTGAGGAGAATGTTACCTTGAATCAGCTCACTCTGGTTAAGATGCTTTTTACTTTTCTCCCTAGGAAAACCAGGCCTCTGAGTAGACATTAGTCCAGTGTTTTAGTCTGATTCCCACTGTGTTTCTCTCTACGTATTTTTGTAATAATCATGTAAAAATTGACATGATTTTACATTATTTTTACTGTATTCAGTTACTAGAGGAGTACAGTGAAGTAGTTTCCATGAACACACTAGGTTTCAAGTATGTTGAAACATTATTTTCACAACTTTGAATTCTTTTCTATGCCCAGATATGACTGAATGACCTTTGTGGTACCACAAGGTGTAGTATTATTGCAATGAAGTAAAACTTGCACTTAGAACAATAAAGCAAATGAGCTGACATTGTTGGTTGAATTGTTACATGATAATTAAAAGGATGAGTCACTGCATTAGGAGAATTTGATAGAAATGCTCATCATTTCCAGCCAGTGACGCTGAACTCCTTCGGCTTTTGGTTTCCCCAGTGGATGAAGTATTTTAACTGTAATTTACAGATACTGGTACTTAGTTATGTTGTGCAAACTGAAGACCTAAACAACACCAAAATTATTTTTTTTAGAACTGCTTGAATTTCCATCATCATAATCTGTCATGGTTTAAACCCAGCCAGCAATTATCATGCAACTGCTTCCTCACTTTCTTCCTGCCTAGTGAAATGGGGAAGAGAATCAGAAGAAAAAAAAAAGAGTAAAACTCAGGGATTGATATAAGAACAGTTTAGTATTTAAAATAACAGTAGCAAAAATAACTATAATCATTGTAATGAACAAGAGAGAGAGAGGAGTAAAACGCAAGAGAAACAAATGGTGCACAGTACAGTGCCTCAGCACCCACTCTCCAGTGCCCATCCTGTTCCCTTCACTGGCAAATCCTTCAGCCACACTGTCAAAGTTAGTGAGAGCGGGGGTTGGGAGAATTAAGAACCATCCCCTCTAGAAGATCAGGTTCAAGACCCATGGGATCTGATGAGATACATCCATGGGCCCTGAGGGAACTGGGCAAGAAAGTAGTTAAGCCACTAGCCATCATATTTCAAAAGTTATAGCAGTTCTCTGTGGAAGTTCCCACAGACTGGAAAAGGTGAAACAGAACATCCATATATTTTTGGGAAGGGAAATTGGGAAGACTCAGGGAGCTACAGGCTGGTCAGTCTTACCTCAGTACCTGGCAGGATCGTGGAATGGAACCTCCTGGAAATTATGCTAAGGAACTGGAAGGTAAGGAGAAGATTGGTGACAGTCAACACAGTTTCACTAAGGATGAATGTGATCGTTGCCTGTGATGGTGTTGCAGTGGTGACAGATGAGGGAAAAGTGAGTGCTATCATCTGCCTGCACATATGTAGAGTGTTTGACACTGTGCCACATGACTTGTCTCTAAACTGGAGACCCATGTTTTTGACAGATGGACTGCTGAGTGAATAATGAATTTAAAGGGTTGTGGTGAATGGCTCATTGTCCATCAGGAGACCAGTGATGAGTGGTGTCCTTAGGGATTGGTACAGAGGCAAGCACTGTTTAACATCTTTGTCAGTAACATAAGACATTGGGATTGAGTGCACCCCAGCAATGTGTGCCAATCAGTGTGGGATGAATGAGGTGATGGAGGAAAGGGAAGCCAATCCTTGCCAGGCTTGAGGGGTGGGCTCATGTGAACCTCATAAAGTTCAACAGGGCCAATTGCAAGGTCCTATACTTGGTTTGAGGCAATCCCAAATACAAATACAGGCAGGCTGGATTGGGAGCAGCCCTGAGGAGAAGGACCTGGGGGTGCTGGTGGATAAAGGCTGGACATGACCAAGCAATGTGTTCTCAGAGCCCAGAAAGTTGATTGTATCCCAGGCTGCATCCAAAGAAGCATGGCCAGCAGGGAGAGCCAGGAGGATTCTGCCCCTCTGCTGTGTTCTGCTGAAACTCCACCTGGAGTGCTGCACCCAGCTCTGAGGACCCTGGCAGAGGAAGACGTAGACCTGTTGGAGTGAGCTGGGAGGAGTCTACCAAGATGATCAGAGGGCTGGAGTCCATGTCCTGTCAACACAGGCTGAGACACTTTTGTTCATCATGGAGAAAAGAAGCTCCAGGGAGATGTTAGAACTGCCTTTCAGTTGCCAAAAGGGACTTACATGAAAGATGGTGGGGGACTTTTTACGAGGGCAGGGAGTGAAGATATGAGGGTAATAACTTTACCCTCTTTAATATTAAGAAGAAATTCTTTACTGTGAAGACGACTGGTACAGGTTGCCCAGAGAGGTGTGGATGCCCCATTGCAGGAAGCGTTCAAAGCCAGACTGGACTTTGAGTAACCTAGTCTAGGGAAAGGTGTCGTGCCCTTGGCAGAGGAGTTGAAACTAGATGATCTTTATGTTCATTTTCAACAATGTTCTTAGGATTCTGTCTTTCATATGTGTAGAGGATTTTCTTCCTCTGCCTCAGGAAAAAAGACAAAATAAAGTGTATGAAGTTAATCTATTATTTAAGGTGTTTTTGACAGTAAACACTTAGTAAGCAGTCTCTTGTGTAAAAGGTCTTGTATGGCAATGATTTCTCAATGAATGAAAAATGTGTTTATTCACTGTGACCTGGGCTGTAACTTCATTTTATGTAGCCGTGTCATGCATTAAATGAGAAAGCAGAGCCACCTAAAGTATAACTTTAGTCTGTGTGGCAAGGAATGTTAGTTTTGACACGTGGAAGGGAGGCAGCAAAAATACATCTAAGGGGAGAGTATGCTCAGTTCAAGCAAAAGTCTAGACAGATTTATCCTCTTTATGGCATTGCGTCTTCCGTTCTTCAGCAATGGATGGCTTCAGTGGTATGCACATTTGTATATGTGTACTTGCTAGTATATAATTATATGCATACTTTACCATGTATATACATATGGGTGTGTTTAAGTACTGTATATACTAGTATTTATTTACATCATGGATGTATGCTTGATTGGAGTCACAGTAGTCTTCAAGAGAAATCAGATTTTCGTTGTCACGACTTGTGTAACTAGTGATCTAGATATTAAATTCTTCAGATTTCCTTTTCTGAACGGCAAAGAAATATTTTCCATCTTATAGACAGAAAGAAGTTCAGGAAACAAAAGTATTTCTAGTTTGTGAAATACAGCATATGCAGTACAAGTGAGGTAATATAGCAAATGTAAAAAATGGCTTGTTCTTAAATTATTTTTAAAAATTGCAGTTCAGTATTTAATTTATAAATGTATAATATTTTTTTTTGTTTAGTTCAAGGAAGAAATCTCTAAACGTTTCAAATCCCACACTGATCAGCTTGTGTTGATATTTGCTGGAAAAATTTTAAAAGATCAAGATACTTTGACTCAGCATGGAATTCATGATGGACTCACTGTTCACCTGGTTATCAAAACACAGAACAGGTAATCTTAATAACAACTGGTCTTCTGTTTACCTCTAGAGAAGTTTAAGTGCTCTGTATTATTAATAACTTTCTGTTGGGCAAAACTAGATTTGACTAAATCACCTTAATCAGCTCCTTAGTTTCAGCTGCTGCAGGACAACAGTGAGGTTATGAAATTACACTGTTTTTTAAAATTTATCTCATATTTTATTTTCATTTATGTTTTTAAATACATTTCTTTTACTTTTTCTTTGGTTTTTTTTTGTTTTTTTTTGGTTTTTCTTATATAGCTTTTTTTTTTGTTCAAGCTGTGTGAAGTGCCCAAAAATCTTTCCAACAAGTAGAGCAATAGATCCCTCAAAAGCAGTTTGCTATTAGTCAATAACATGTTCATTCTTTTAGAGTGAAAGTGGTTTTGCTTCTGTTCTACTTAGGTCTTTTCTGTTTATGGTGAGGATCCCCTCTGATGTGAAAATGTCTTATGTTGAAGGAAAGAGCATAAAGTGTAGGAGAGAACAGAAGTAGACTTTCCCTTTTAAGGCCTTACCAAGACATCAAGGCTGGCTACTAACATTAGCATTAAATACAAATTCTTGTTGAAATTAGTATCATTAACATTCAATGTAGGTACTTTTTCAAATTGATACCTTCAGTTCTATATTCATGCCCTGGAAGGATTATGTTCTCCGTCCTGGAGTCAAAATACATGTTTGTACTGTCAGAGGTGTCCCTTTCCTGCCCTTTGCCTCCTCCACCTGAAATTTAGGCTGATACAAGCCATGCCAGTCTTGAATACAGTATTAGGCAATACTGCAGTTCTGTTCTTTTTGCATCTGAGTGAGTATTCTGCTGTTGCTATTTTTTTTTGTTGCTTTTTTTGCCTAAAGTCCTAAGTATGACAGAGAGGCTCCATGAGTACTACTAGAAGGATGCTTTGACTTGCACAATCTTCAGAGAGTTTATAGTTTGGACCTACTGTAGCTATATATACTGAAATACACCCCTGCCTGCCTCTTGGGCCTTCTTGCACTTTGCCTCTGAGCAGAGGAACCCTCAGGAATGCAAATGTCAAACATGTGGCTTTTGGGTCTTATCAGCATTGCACTCCATGTCTGCTTTTATGCCTGCTTTTGTTTGAATCATTTTAGAAGGCTGTATTTCTGCTATCTGCAGAATGTTTTAATCATTGGGAAAATGAAGTGTGAACTAAGAACTACAGATCCTTTGCATGTACATGTGCTGTGTTCAAATGATGCATTGAAGTTTTCACCTACTAGCTTTACTTGAATAAACTAAAGACATGGTAAAACCTGCTGGAGAGAATGTCAGTCAGCATTGTCCTGAAATATCGCAGTTGTATTCTTGCTAAAATATCTATATTTTATGCTTGTCTTGAAAGACAAGATTTAGACCCTGCCGGTGTGGTCTGGAACATGCTGATTTTTGGCCCTGAGTATCAAGATTGATTTGTTCCCAGGTACTTTGGTACGCTCTGCCATTTACTTTTCTGTTGATTCTTGCTGTTACTGTTGCTGCTGTGTATCTGAAAAAGTCAAAGTTATTTTCCAAAACTGGATCTGAAAGTGATCTTTTCCCTTGTAAACTATGTTATTAGATTTGTAATTTCAAAATGGGAATCTTCATATATCCCAACCACATGCTTGTTAAAAAAAAGATTACTTTTTCTACTGTGCTACATTTTCTAGACTGCTACAGACTTTCAGTGCACTCTTGTTACCTATCTTCTACAGTGTCAGAGTAGCAGTGAGTGATTAGCAATAGGCAGCAAAGATAAATAGAATTTCTGAGTAGAGTTCTAGGTCAACAGGTGTCATTTGTTCACATGTGCTTGGAGGAAACATAATGGCAAAATGGGTGTAAAAGGCGATGCGCACTTGACAGGAATATAGCTGAAAGACTGAAGGCTCAAAGGCTTGAAACTCACATGAACCTTAATCTTGAAAGAATATGCTCCAGTTTGCATGGGAGCACTACTGTACTTCAGCTTTCAGTGTCACCTACTTTTCTGTCACACTTTTGAGAACCTTTAATGTCTATTACATAAAGCAGCATAGTTGCTTCTCAAAATAGTTTCTCAGCTGAAAATACAAATAGGATTTGATGCTTGTTTTTTTTACTTTGCTTTTGGAGGAAAGATGTGTATGTTTTCTAGATAAAAGAAAACTCAATATCTCTAGCAGGAGAATCAGAATCAGTATACAGTCTATAATCTTTCTCATTCAAGTTACAGCTGCTTGGCCAGTTATAGTCATCTTGTGTTCAAAGTTTGCAGTTGCTGATAATTAAGTTAAAGAACTCTTAGAAACCTCAGGAGAATCTATGCTTTTAAAGCATCTTTCTGGGTTTTTTTTTGTATGGTTGGGGATTTTTTTCTGATGTTTGCTTGAGCGGAGCAAGTGCAGAGTTATGTTATAGGAGAAAGGTCCTCCAAGGTGGACTGAAGTATGGAGTCTAGTGTAGTGCCAAATTCTCAAATCTTTTTGTGATGTCTGAATTCGTAGTTGTCAAAAGTATTTTATTCTGTAGTACTGCAAATATAGGCATTTATTGATTGTTGAACCACAGTGGAGAATTGATTTGGATTTCAAAGCAGTCTCTTTTCTTTAGAACAGAGAGGTCAGGTTAACTTTATTCGAGCTCAATTCCTTCATCTCTTTTACTGCATGGCAGCATTTGTCTTTCTGCCTGCAGTAGAAGAGTGTGATGAGTACACAGCCTGGGCAGGCTTTAGTGCCTGTGCTAAATTATGCTGGCTTTAGTGTCATGTGATTTTATTATCAGCCTTTTTTTGAAGTCTTAAAGGTTTGAGAGTTTGAGATTTGTCTTATAGTCAAATGTGATATTAACTGAATTTCACATTCAATAAAGCATGGTGTTGGAGATGTGGCATGAAATAAATTCTGCATTAAATTTGTCAGGCTTTATTTCTTGAAGGTGTGGGCATGTTATCAGTAGTATGTGAGTATAGTGAAATAAGACATGGATCCTTAAAGCAAGGTAAGGACAGAGAAAACAATTAATTGGCAAGCGTCATGGGGTAGGATGAGAAGGTGGTAATAGCTACAGTGATACCTATCTGTTTTTTCACTATATAAAACTACTGTTCAGAAAAACTGATGACATAACAGGTGTCTGAGAAAGATTTATTACAGGAAACCATGTGGGGATAACTGGAGTTATCCCTGGGTTATGACCAAGAATCTAAATGTAATTTAAGATTCTGAAGTAAAATACTTTAGCTACAAATGGCACTACTTAAAATAACTTGTTACACTCTATATAAAGTTTTGAAATTGCTTTTTTAGATCACAAGACCACCCAGCTCAACAGGCAAACACCTCTGGGAGTACTGCTACCACATCAACATCAAGCAGTAGTACTTCAACACCAGCATCAACAAATAGTAATCCCTTTGGCTTGGGTAAGAATATTTGTTAGGTGGAATGGTGGGTATCTTCTCTTGGATTCCACGAATTGTGCCCAAAGCTTTATCACAATGTAGACAAAACTTGAAAAACAAAACCCAAACAAACACGTCAGCCAAAAAATTAATTACAGTTATATACTCAATTGGCTGTAGAAGGTTTCTGATCAAAGCAGAGTTGTTTCATTAGTTTTACAGAGAATCATGAAATAGTTTGGGTTGGAGGGGATACCTGTTAAGGTGATCTATTCTAAACTTTGTGCAATTAGCTGGGACATCTTGAAGCAGATTAAGTTCCTCAAAGCCCCATCAACCTGACCTTGAATGTTTCCAGAGGTGGGGCATCCATCACCTCCCAGGATAAACTGTTCCAAGTTTGTTTCACCACAAACTTCACTACAAGATTTTTACTGTTTCAGCTTCAGTGGTAAGGTACTTCTGATGTTTTAATTTGGCACTGTGGGTAATGAAATACCTTCCAATGTCTTTGTACTACTTAAAGTGCATCTGAATTCCTGTTATCTGAATACAGATGAATCATAGAAGTTTGGACCTGTGACATGAAGCCAAGATCTGCAATAAAAGCAACAAAAGTGCTGCTAATCTTTCAATTAACTATTTCTCAGGTTTCAAGTCTAATAGTATTAAGAGTCTTCACTTCTATGAATGAAGACGCTGCAGTCTGTTGATTTAGAAATTATAATCTGTTTCCATAGTTGTGGTGGGGTTTTGTTTCATTCTTTTTTGTCTTTTTTTTTGCATTTGGGAGTGGGGAAGAAGTAGAATTGGAAAAGCCAGTTATAGTAAGCAAATGATTTCTTGGGTTTTAATTGTTCGTTGGTCTGTTTAGTACTTTCTGAAACTTTTTATCTGGATTCAGCAAAGCACAAAAATTCAAAACATAATTTCCTCTTGGTACATTATTACCAGGAGGAACACAGGTTTTACATTTAAGTGGAATTAGAAATATTACTCATATTGGGAATTCACTCTTAGTTACAGTTTAACCAAGAGGAGACAGATAAATGATTACTACAAATGCAGTTGTTAAATGTTGCTGGAGGCAAATGGACCTAAAGCCCCCAGTCTCAAACATTTCTTGTATCTTGGCTTTGGAAAATGAGAAGAAAAGCTGTTAGAATTTTAACAAATTTTATTTTAAAATAAAGTGAGTAACTCCTGAACAGCCTTGAAAAAGATGGGATTTTCCATTCATTTTTGTTACTTTGAAGTATGAGATATGTTCAAGTATTTTGTATTTAGAAAATATCTGGATGTGATTGGAAGTATAGTCAGTCACATTTTTTCATCCTCTTGAAGGTGGCCTTGGAGGTTTAGCAGGCCTGAGTAGCCTGGGCTTAAATAGTTCAAACTTCTCGGAGCTGCAAAGTCAGATGCAACGACAACTTATGTCCAACCCGGAAATGATGGTTCAGATAATGGAGAATCCATTTGTTCAGAGCATGCTTTCAAATCCTGACCTGATGAGGCAGTTAATTATGGCTAACCCTCAAATGCAGCAACTGATACAGAGAAATCCAGAAATCAGTCACATGCTGAATAATCCAGATATAATGAGACAGGTATGTAAAAAGATCTATTAGTTCATGGCTTGTGATTCTGCTGTTATGTAAACAACAGAGCCAGAATTGGACATACTTAGTGGAGTGTGTGAACATTCTTTAAGTATTTAGTCTTACTCGAAATCCATAAAAGGTTGCTATAGACAACCAGTGTCTACATATCTTGTTGTTAATGTCCAAAATAGACTGATATTTCAGAAAATCTGCAGCATAGTTTTTGAAAGTCACTGAATACATGTCTTCTGAGGCTAGAACTGGATGTGGCTGTCTGCCCTTGAAACCTGTTGTCTAGCCAGGAATTTTACCATAAGTTGTAATTCTCCAAAATTCTGCATATTTTCATTGTGTCACTGTGGGTACTTCTAAATACTTTTTAAATTAGTAGATAGATAAGTTGTTTCTTATGGCAAAATGTACCCAAACCCAAAGAGATTAATAGATGCTTTTGAAATTCTATGTATTTATTTTAAATTTCATATTATAGGCTGCCTGCTGTAGTGATGTTAGAAACAGTAAGAATTATGGTAGAATGCTGGCTAAATACTGAATTGTGTTGATTCACACTGTGCCGACAGGTTGATTCAGCTCTAATCGTAATTTTAAACTGGGTTAGACAGGGATGACTGAGATATTGCCAAATGCTGACGTTTTCACTTTAGAATGGATTTCTTATTAATACAGATTAAACGTTCCACTTCTCTAGACACTAGAACTTGCTAGAAACCCTGCAATGATGCAGGAGATGATGAGAAACCAGGACCGAGCTTTGAGCAACCTTGAAAGTATACCAGGGGGATACAATGCCTTGCGGCGTATGTACACAGACATCCAGGAGCCAATACTGAATGCAGCACAGGAACAGGTGAGAAAAGATTACAAACGACACAGAAAGGAAATACTTAATATTTAATAAAAGAATTTAAGTAATTAAAATGTCCAGATGTTTATTTGACAAAACAATTTTTGAAACTTGAGGTTATGTAGCCTTTTACTCTTGAAAGACCTTTAAAAATCGTGTTCTTCTGAGCCTGAAGAAATACAGCTATCATTTTTTGTGATTGAGAAGCTATTTTAAAGTTAATAGATTTGTTTGTTACCTAATTTTTAATTCCTTTAATTCACTGCCTTAAGATTCGGAGGTTCGGTAAAATCCTTTTAAAGGTGTGTTTAGTAATTTTAAACTGAAGGTGAGAAGAATAAAAGATTTTGAATTCAGAAACCAGTATGCAAGACACAATTTTACTCTGATCAAAATACAATGCAGTAACAACACTTTTTGAAAAGAAATGTGATTTAATTTTTTGAGGGAGTCCTAGTATCTCTCAGTGTTAGTGTATTTTAACAATATTTACCTTTAATTACTGTAGACTGGTGAGTATAACTGATTAGAAGCCATAAACATTTATTTTCATGTATGATTTATAAATTTGTAGAATGATAAGTGTTTGCTTTCCTTTGTAGTTTGGAGGTAACCCATTTGCGTCTTTAGTAAGCAACACATCAGCAGGAGGGGACAATCAGCCATCTCGTACAGAAAATCGAGATCCTCTGCCAAATCCGTGGGCTCCTCAGTCCAGCTCACAGACTTCCACAACAAATACTAGCACTACTGGTGAGAGCAGTGGCAGCAATAATCCCGAAAGTAGCACTTCAGGCACAACGGGACAGAGCTCAACTGGACCAAATTTGGGACCTGGGCTTGGAGGTGTGTTTGTTACTGCAACTGTATATGTTTGCACATACATGCAAATTGAAATTATTCTTTCATTAGACAGAGAGTTTTTGATTCAGTTTTTATTGCTGTTTACTTTTGTAGAACATTTTACTATTGTTAAAGTCCTCTGAAGAAAAATAAAAAAAATAGGAAAATTTATCTAAGTGATAATTATACTTAAAATAACAAAGGTAGCAATTCTGCAGATGAATTGTAGTATTTTTTCTGTTCTAAGGCAAATGGAAAAACAGGTAATAATGTGAATAGTTGATGGGAATGTGTGTTTGGTACAATGTCTGTCTTAACTTTTAGGGTAGATATGTCTATGTAAGTAGAACAGCACTGAGGTAAGTTTCAGGGTCTTAAACTCATGAAAACCAAGTGGTTATATTCTGGGTTTAGATAGTCTCCTTTCTCTGATGATAATCAGAATGCTTACTAACGTGCCTTTTACCTTTTCTTTAAGCTGGTATGTTCAATACACCAGGAATGCAGAGCTTATTACAGCAGATAACAGAAAACCCACAGCTTATGCAGAATATGTTGTCTGCACCCTACATGAGAAGCATGATGCAGTCGTTAAGCCAGAATCCGGATCTTGCAGTACAGGTAAATTGCATTTAGTATAGTAATATATTGTGGGTATTAAAGTGTCATAGGAAGGGGACCAGGACACCAGCTGGTTCACCAACTGGTCCGGTCCAGTTTATTGAAGAAAGTATCAAACACTTATACAGCAAATAATAAGCTTATGAATATTCTGTAAGCCAAGCAATCTATTAGTTAAACTATGCCATGAACTCTTCCTCATTCCTTAGGGGTTACATCTCTCTCACTGTTTGTTATCCTACTACAGCCAGGCCCAAGGACACGCTACCAACACAGGTGCAGGACTTGGAATTAGCCGCGGTTTTGTACTTTTCCAGTCTTTCTAGTCAGCTAAATTCCCAACATTAAAGTAAAAAAAGACAAAACCCAAAAGCTCAAAAATTGCCTGTGGCAAATGGGCTAATTTTTAGTGTTAATTCCTAAGTAATTACTGAAATTATTAGCTGCTTGCTTTCAACAATTTGTTGCCTTGAGTTTCTTCAATTTGTAGTTGGATATCATGCCTGATATATTTCAGAAATCATCATGGGGTTGTGTAAACTTGTGATCCAACATTAGAAACAGACAAAAAAAGTGCTTTCGTTATGAATTAAGGTAGAGCTACCCTCTCTAGTTGGGGGAAGTGAAGGGAGGGGACTTGGCGCCCTATCTAGATATTACTCTGTTTTTAACTTCTTATTTTTGACCTGTGCCTCACTGTAAAAGTAGAGATGCCATTTTATGTATGGTGTTGTAGAAGTGCTTTGAATTTTTATTTAAAGTGGTAATATTGAGGCTCAGATTCTGAACTGACATTGAAAAAATATTACCTCTTCTGTGTTAAATATTCACTTGGAAATATCCTTGACTTCAGGTGATATTTACAGCAAAGCTATTACTTAGATTTGTGGTGGAGGCTGAACAGAAAAGTATTTTCTTGTAATACTTTGCAAGACTGCCTTATTGTATCTGGAAATCCATTCACTTAAAAGAAAAAAGAACCAATGAAGCAAAAGTGAAACAAAAAACCAAAAAAAAAAAAAGCCCCCAGAAAAAAACCCCACCAAAAAAACAAACAAACAAAAATACATACACCCCAGAAATTTTTGGCCAAAGGAGTAGATAGATGATTATTATTCTGTGAGGTAATTTTCATAGACTATTACTGTATTATCCGTAGTTGTTTTAAAACCTCCAGTGGTTTTTACTGCTTGATCTTTGAAGTTAAATATTTTTGTCCTATAGATGATGTTGAATAATCCTTTATTTGTTGGAAATCCTCAACTTCAGGAACAAATGAGACAACAACTTCCAACTTTCCTTCAGCAAGTAAGATGAGATACTAGCTCTTAATAAAGGTCTTCAAGTCAATGAGCAATATATTTGGTAAACTGGTGCCTGTTTTTGATTTGGCTAATAGCTAGATTCTGTAATATATTCTCATTAGCTTTAGATACTAAGTTAGATTGTCCCTTAATAATATTCTTGCTAATGTCTCCATCTCTTTCAGAAGTTAAACCTGTTGTCTGTGACGAGCATAACCACTAAGATTTGTTCTTGCTTCTTTGCTTAGAAGGAATAAATGCTCTTACTGCACACCAGCCAGAAAACACCTGTTTGTGACAAAATTTATTTCAGAAATTAAAAAGAATAGTACTTTTCACAATGCTAGGTAAAGTTTCAGTATGCTTTTCTCATGCCTCTTCAAACCTGCATTAAATATTTTGAAAAGAGGTCCTCGAGCATATCTTGAAAGACCTAAGTCATCAGCTAATTTAAAATAAGTGGGTTCTGAAGTCTTTCCTGGAAAGATTGCTGCACCATTATCTTCCGCCCATACCAACATTGTGTTTGCAGCCCACATTATCTGCTTATTATTAGTTGCCACAGTGTGTAGTAGAACTTGTTTCCTAAATAGAAGCAAGCAAGATTTTTGTAGGAATTAAAAAACTAATCCACTGCATGAGTTCTGTCATTAGGCAGTCGTTGCAAATCATTGTAAATATGCGTTTCCAAGATCTGGCTGCATGCAGGAGGTTTTATGAGTAAAATAATGAGCACGTACATGAATTACAGTAGCATGTTCAGTGTTCAGAAGATAGTTTATATTGTTTGAACCACATGAATGGCTGTGGTGTTTTGTATTGCCACTGCTTTGTAATGACTCAGTGGTAGCTGAGGAGCCAGTACATTTATGTTTTGAAATCTGTGAATAATTGGTAATTAATGAATGCACAGTAGGAATCATATCTTGTTTCCTTTGTGTATCGCCTTCTGTTATTACCACCTTAGAATTCATCTGCACAAATAGTTCTCTGTTGTATTCACTGTCTGAAGTTAGTTGATTAACAGATTAGCAGGTGAGGTGTGGAGAAATAGCTGGATATTCTCAGAATGTTGGTAATATTTCAACTTATGTTTTCTTGCTTATCTACCTGTGTTTATATTATGGGATTGGGAGACAGAAACCATGGAATCTGCATAATGGAAGACATCTTTTGCAATTAAGGGCAATTGCCCAGCAGAATTAGGGAAGAATGGCTGCTACTGGAATTAATAACATTAATAGAGATGAGATCCAGGTCACCTAAGTGCTCTAAGAATAGTTGGGCCAGCATTTATGTAAGACAGCTTCTGATATCAGACTGTAAGTCAAGATTTAAATATTTTCATGAAGTAGTTGCAGCAGCTGTATTTGGAGACCCCAAAATGTTTATCTCTTTAAATCTGAGTAATTTTTTCCATATACTATTCATTGATTTGTTGACTTTCAGCTATCATGAAGATAAAAGTCCAGGAGATTAATGGAAAATAATAATTGCTCTTCTGAAGTCTCTTTAGGCACTCAGATCAGAGTTCTTCATGTCCTGTGCTGCAGTTCTGCTCTGCAGTAGAGGAAGTTTCACCTTAATCTGTGATTTCCACATTAATCAAATGTGATTTTTCAGCAAAAGTAACCTGGGGAAACTTTTGCTAGGGGAAAGCTGCCCAGATTAGTAAGCATATCTGCTCTTTGGTCTGATTATCAAAACCTGTTATTTGTAACTGAAACATTGCTTTTCATGTACCTGTTGCATCTCTATGCAAAGGTGAGCATATGCCACTAGTTTTGTGTCTAAAATAATTAGGTTTTTGGATGTTTCATTTCAGAAATAAAAAGGATTTGCCTTCTAAATTATTTGATGATGTGAAAGCGTATTTGTAATAGAAGTCACAATTGACAGAGGACCCTTGAATATTATACATTTGTTTGTTGGTATATTTTCCAGTATGTTTGTTTACATTTCAGGCTGTAAGAGCAATACAGATGAGATATGTACAAATAGTCACAACCAAATTGCTGTGATCTGAAATCAGCTAGGAAAAAGGAAGTTAGTATTTTTTCTTAGGTATTTTTTGGTCAAGTTTCATCATGTTCAGCATTGTTGCTTGCTAGTAGTATGATATAGGAGACTAATTCTAAAATAATGTACTAACACAGTGTTGAAGCCTTTGAAAGATTGAAATCTGTAATGAAAAATACTTCTCTTGTATAATTCTTGTTCAAGAGACCTTTTCTACATCTAGAGAGTTCATTCATCACCTTCTAAGGAAGTTTCGCACAGAAGAAAAATAACGGAAGGATTTCCTGTAATATTCAACTACAAAATCAAAAGCCAAGTTCTGAAATTATGTCACATTCTATGAGACATCTAGCAATAAAAATTACCTTGAAACATCTACATATACTGAAAAGTTTGTCTCCTTCTCTTAGATGCAGAATCCTGACACCTTATCAGCTATGTCAAACCCCAGAGCAATGCAGGCTCTGCTACAGATTCAGCAAGGCTTGCAGACATTAGCAACAGAAGCACCAGGGCTTATACCAGGGTAAGCATTGATCTTACAAATTTGGACAGGAAGTCTTCCCTTGTTTTGGTTACTCTTTTTAGATTTAGAGTTTTATACAGTCTTTATTAACGATTCATCCTCTTGCCTTTTTTAGGTTAACCAAATTTTTTTAGAATCTGTCACATGTGTCTGCTGTGCAGTTCTAAACAGTGATAACTCTGGGCTTTTTCTTAGTACATCACTCAAATTGTTATCCTCTCTTTCACAGAATTTGTACCGACTAATTATTGAGAACAGACAAACTAGTATTTATTATTCAAGTGGTATATTTCTTTTTCTGTAATTTATACAGGTTTAATCCTGGTTTGGGTGGAGGGGGAAGCAGTGGAACTTCTACACCATCCACTGTACCTAGTTCTGTTTCCACTGAAAATACAAGTCCAGCTTCAGGAACTGCTGAGCCTGGTCACCAACAGTTTGTCCACCAGATGTTGCAGGCACTTGCTGGTGCAAATGCTCAGGTAATGTACATCATTATATTTAAATATTTTTGCTTTTATTCTTAATTGTAAAACACTGGAAAGAAGACAGGTAGTTGAGGGGATAGCCCACTGGATGCTTCTGGTCAACAAAGGTCAGTAGAAGAGGCTTAAAAGTGCTATTTCAGCTGTGCAAGTAAATACTGAAAAAATACATCCTCTGTCCTGATGAAAAACATGCCTCTGAAAGTCATATCATTAAGACAGTGCAGGATTTTGCCATGAGTTTGTGTAATCAGGATCTTCCTATAAAGCACAGCTAAGAGTTTGCCTTAGACTCAAGCTTTCTAACAATCAGGATTTTGGTAATTTTAGTCAACAGATACTTGAGAGTGTTACAAAAGTGGTGATCTTTACGTTGAAGAAAAATAAAGCCTGTGATGTTCAAGATTGCTGACAACACAATCTTTGCTGTTCCACATTGCTAGGTTGAACTCTGTTTTGTTTTATAAAACCAGCTATATGCATATCTTTAAGAAACGGTCCATGGACATACATGCACCCAATTTAATGTGACTCCGCTATTAGTCAGTTTTTCCTGGAGTTCAGGAATGGTATGTAAGTGTAGATAATTTGATGTTGCTGACTTATTAAAAAATTTCTTTAGTTGCTAATTGAATTTATCTGAATATATTTTTTGGAATTTGAAAAAGGTGTAGTCAAAAATTAGAAAAGACAGAGTGGTGCTGAACCCACTTGTGTTTAAATTGTGTATTTTGCTAAATATGTATTATGCTTTTATAGCTTGAAATTTTGTTCTTAGCAGTTACAAAATCCAGAAGTTCGATTTCAGCAACAACTGGAACAGCTGAGCGCAATGGGCTTTCTGAACCGTGAAGCAAATTTACAAGCACTAATAGCAACAGGAGGAGACATCAATGCAGCTATTGAAAGGCTGCTTGGCTCTCAGCCTTCATAGCAGTGTTTCTTCTAACTTGAAAAATGTAATTTATTTTTGATAACAGCTCTTTAATCTTTCAGATTGCTTTATTTCATTCTGACTCTTGGGATTGTCTTGTTATAACTAAAACCAATCTGATGCATTTGAAGGTGGAGTGCAGTAGTTTTCTTCAGACATTGGGAATCAATGCATTTTCACTTTTGAGTGCATCAGTTCTTTTGTTCAGCATTATTTGTGATTTTTTGGAAACAGTATCAGCTTTCACAGTTGGATGAACAAGTTTTGTCTGACTTACAAATGGCTAATTTATTTACTACTTAAACAGTATCCTTCAATAGTAATTTATGTAGATTACACATTAAAAAGGAAACAAAATAATTGAAGCTGTGGGTACCAATACTGCTTATTGTGATTTTAGCATGTTTTATTCTCTTGACTAGCAAAATGCTGGAAGATTTGTACCACTTGAGTAATCTACCATCTTTTACTTTAATTTGTCTAAGGTATAAACACCATATATACAACAGAGATGGCTCATTTCTAGAGATGTACACAATATAATAGAGTGAAATTGTAAGCAATGAAAAAACACAAAAACCCCCAAAGCAACAAGAAAAAACCCACAAAAAAACCCAAAAAAATCAAAAAACAAGCAAGCAAAAAAAAAAAACTAAAAAAACCCCCACAAAAAACTCCAAAAAAACCGACAAAAAAAACCATTGTGGGACTTGAATTTGGTGTAGAACTGCCCAAGATCTTTGGTAACTATCTCAGAAAAAATGCTTAAGCAACTTCAGTTAAAATATGCTAGAATTACTGTTCTGGTTGTCTCTTTACATTTAACTGTACAGAAACTTGCATTATAACATTGTTTCAATAGTCACAGATTTAACTGTAAATTACTTTTGTCATTGTCCAAATTAAAGAGCCACAGCCTTGTGCTCTGGACTTGCTTCTATGGCTATTTGGCTTGTTCCACTGAGATTTTTACATGTATTCTGATTTTTAATTGGAGAAATTACTTCTATTCATGGTCATGTGATACTCTAATTACTTCTAACCACCAAGTAAAAAAATACTGTATAGCTTTTGAGTTTCTATTGGTAGTTACTTCTCTTGTGCACAGGTAATAAATGAATTAAAAAAATCTTTAAGCATCTTGTTTCAGTGTGTTTGCAGTTGTTCATTACCTAAAAATCAAGATGACAGTCCATCTTAAAAGCATTTGAGTCAGCTCAAGTTCTGGCAGTACTTACCATTTCTGTGCTAAAACTCCTGCGGTGTAAGGTGGACAGAGGAGAATAAGAGATGGATGATGTTGAAGACTTTTAGCTTAGATGAAGTAGGGATTGCAGAACAAAAGTTGAAATGAATCTGGTTTTTATTGCTCTTTTGTGTCAGTGTAATGGATTTATGCATCTTCAGGTTCTTTTGATGTTCTCAAACCTGATCTTCTGCAGAGTGCAGTTCTTCATTTTCCCAATCCCTGTTCTCACCTTCTGTGACTTGGGCAGTGAGGCTGGAGCATTTGCTGGTGAAGACTGAGGCAAAAAAATCAAGTACCTCAGCTTATGTCCTACATAACCAGGTCTTCCAAATCCCTCCTGAAAGGAGCCATGTTCCCTAATCTTTTACTGCTAATGTACCTAAAGAAGATTTTTGTTACTCTTGATGTTCTTGACCAGATTTACTTCTGTCAATGCTTTAGCCTTCCTAACCATCTTCCTGCTTTTATGTTCTGGAACTTGGACAGTGTGGCTGGAGTATTTGCCACTGAAGAGAACAGGCTGGGCATCAGACAGTGGATGTTGAGGCTCTGTACTGTGTATCATTTGTTCCTCTTTTTTCCTCTCTCTGTTTCATAATACTAATAATAACAACAACAGCAATAATTTCATCTCCCTGGCTGTTTGGACAGTTTCTCTGTATTACTCCTAAGCTACCTTTCCCTCTTCCCATGTTCTGTAAGCTACCTGTTTCTGTTTTAAATTTGTCCTGGGGCTCCTTGTTCATCCATACATGTCTCCTGACTCTTCTCCAGTTTCCTCTTTGTTGGGATGCCTTAGTCTTGAGCCTTGAGGAAACAATCCTTGAATGTCATCCAGCCCTCTATGCTCAGGGCCCTGTCCCATGGTATTCTACCAGAGAGATCCTCCAAGAGGCCAAATTCCCCTCTCCTGAAGTCCAGCGCAGTTATCTTGCTTTCCACTCTCCTTGTTGCCCCAAGGATCTCAGTCTCCACTGTTTCATGGTCACTGCAGCCTGCCTTTGGGCTCCACATTCCCCATCAGCTCCTTGTTGCTGAGATTATTCTTCCTAGCGCCTTTCCTCTTTGGCTCCTTTATCAGTTGGAGAGGGCAAATGTCATCAGTGAACCTCCTGGAATACATGTGCTCTACTGTCCTTAGCCTCCAACAGGCTGTCACAACCAGAAGTGTGTGTGAGGTTTCTTGTAAATTCTTGTCTGTCTCAACAAGGTCTACATGTCTATACAGTAGCCTTAATTCCAGAAATTAACCTCCTATTTAGCTGTAAAAAGTTGGCTAACAAGCTCTCCAACTTCTACAACAAACTTTCAGACTAGCTCCCAAATCTCACAGTTAACTTCATGTGTTGAGTAAGTGGTAGAATATGATTGCTGGGGTAAAACAGGAGAGAAAAAGGTGGAAAAGAGAAAGAAAAATGTCAGTCTTTAGATCCTGCATTGGTCCTGCTGCTATGGATAGTCTGGATCTGGGGTCGACAGGGAGAATGCGGGAGACCAGTCCCCTTCCTTTTATGGTTTACCTGGTATATGCCTCTCATGTAAAATAGATTTTTTGGTGCCATTCATGCTGTATTGTTCGCAAGTGTGTAGTCAATTATTTAGAGCCCTCCAGGAAGTGAGGGAATTAATGGGCTGTGGTGTCCTGGAACCCCTTTTAGTGAGGTGTCTGGAACTTGACCCTTGACACAAGTGCACTAAGCATGAGTCTTGAGGCAGACTTACAAGCTTAACAACTTGGCAAGGAAAAGGAAGTTGGCTCAGAACAGGACTGACTGCCCCACCTCTGCAGGACCCTCTCAAGCCAATCAACACTTCCCTATTGCAGTGGTTGGAATCGCCTATGAGGACCAGGGCTTGTGAATGTGAGGCTTTTCTTCTCTGCTTGTGGAGGGCTTCATTGGTCTTTCTGGTAAGGTGATCTGTAGCAGGCCTCTGCCTGTGCTTGCCGTCCCTTTAATCCTCACCAAAAGCTCTAAGTTAGCTCCTTGTCCATTCCAGGTGGAGCTCCATGCACTCCAGGTGGTCACTGACAGAGAGGTTGACACCTCTTCCTCATCTCCCCTTCCTGTCCTTCCTGAAGAGACTGTATCCTTCCATTCCAACACTCCAGTCATAGGAGTTGTCACCATGTTTCATGATGCCAGTAAGAGCATAGATGTGCAGGCATGCATATGTCTCTACTTTATTCCCTATGCTGGATGTGTTAGGATAGAGGCATCTAAGTTGGGTCCCCCAGAAAATTATCTTCTCTCTGGAGTGGCTAGAATCCATTTGTGCTGCCCCTCCAGGTGTTCTCCTGCTGACCTGCAATCCCTCTCCAGACTCTGGGTGTCTCTTGCTGGCTCTGGCACCTAACTGATAGAAATAACTGACTTAACTGACTAGTAACTCACCTAAATAACTCAGCTAACTGACTTGTGGGATGGCAAGTCATCCCACACCTTTTCCTATTAAATACGATGATACCTCCCTCTTCCCAAGCATAAATTGTTTAAAGGTGTATCAATGACTGTTAACCCTTTACCAAAGACCCTTTTTTCCTTTTGAGAGAGGTGATGCTTCTGATCCCATCTGATACCAGCGAGAATGGTGCTATTGTAGCTATCCCACTGTCCAACAACCCTAAATTTGGGCAGTGACTTGAGCCTCAGAGCCCATGTTAATAGACTCCATCTGTTTGTTTCTTTGAATCACTACTTGCACATGGAATAATGGAGGAAAAAATAACCTGTGCCCCTGACTCCCTCACCAGTTGTCCCAAGGCTTTGAAGTCTCTTGATGGCCTTTGGACTGACTACATGTTGTGACTTCATCACCACTCTCATGGAGGATCAGCAGTGGGTAGTAGTCTGAGTACTGAACCGGGCTGGGAAATTTCCTGGTGACCTCCTTTAACCTTGACCCCAGGGGTGCAGTAAACTTCCTTGAGGGGAATATTCTTACAAGCATATTGGACAGGAATCATCTACCACTACCATTATTTTCTTTCTCATGGAACTGAGAGAAAGTTCATGCTGATCATGTCCAACAGCTGTAGGCCTGTCCAGCCTCTCCCTGGAGAGGGACCTTCATCCTCATCATCTGTTGCATGACCTTCCTTACCTGTAACTATTGTACAGAGAGGAACCTAAAGAGAGGGTGAGATGGGCAAGGATGCATCTTGGCCTGTTGTCCCAAGCAAGTTCTTGCCTCTGTTCATATTTCATTCTGATCTTCAGGCAGAGGGAGGTTACAGGACCATTGGATAAGGATGGATGGAGAGAAAGTAGTTTCTGTAGAATAGCCTCTACTTTTTTACAGTTATTTTCACAGTGATTATTAGGATCTCCAAAGAAATGAATTCAACTTAAGTGTGCCTTACTGGGACCTTGAATTAAAAAAAAAGTTCAGACTCCCTCATCATTCAGTACGCAGATCTATTTGAGAATACAGTCCATGACATCCAAAAAGCCTGTCAGATGGAAGGGCAAGGGTGATGTGAGGAAGAGAACAGTTTTTACCAAGACACTAAGAATCTAACTAGCACAAATACTTTCTCAAGACATCATTCAGCTCACCCTTTTTAAGCATTTCAGTTGCCTGTTACAAACTAAGAGACAATACATTTGAAGTAAAATCTCATTGCAATTCAACAGGAGATGTAAGTTTGACCTAAATTCTATACCGAGCCTTTAGCTAAGCTTACTTCTTGAAGTAGAATCAATATTTATCAGTAACTACTGTCAACTAAACTGGCTTTCTAGTGGTAAAAACAGCTGGTTTTTAATAGAAGTTTTAGTTTTGTCTGAAAATATAGCAAGCAGAACACGCTTTATAGACAGGAGAGACTTCTTATTTCATCTTTAATGATGAAAGAAAACCCACACTTGGTGGTTTAAGATTGTGTTACAGTGTTTCTCTGTTCACCCCTCCCCACTTCTCCCTCTCGCCCCTTTATCCATCTCTCTTGAAAATTCTCTCTTCAGCGTTGCCATCTACCTCTTCTTTCAGATGAGCACTTAGATAACTTGTACTTGAAAACTGCAAGTACATGTGAAATCTTGCATTTTGGACCAGAAGGGCATGCGTGCCTGAAGGCTGTCTCTTCACTTTCTTGCTTTCTTCTTTTCCTCTGCTGTGGATCAAGTGACCTGACAGGATGGTCTGCAAAACTACCTTGCCTGATCATCAAACTCCTGCTAGAAAATGTAACTGATGCCAAAACAAAGAAATCTGAAAGTTATGATGATCTGAACTGACAGATATCATTTAAAAGACTCAGAATGCATACATTCAGTATTGGGAGTATGACTGCTAAATGGCTGGTTTTGTAAACGATGTGGTCTGCCTAATTTTCTTCTTGGTTCAGTGACTGGATATACTGGGTTGACCCTGGCTGGATGCTAGGCACCCACAAAAGCTACTGTATCCCTCCCCTCTGCAGCTGAACAGGGGCAAGAAAATATTAAAAATGGTTAATGGATTGAGATAAGAAGTGGGAGACATTGCTCATCAAATACTATCATGGGAAAAACTGTCTGGAATGAGATACATTAGTTGAATGTATTAGTAACAAAATCAGAGCAGGATAATGGGGAGTAAAGCCAGGCCTTAAAACACCTTCCCCTACTCCTCCCCTCCTTTCTAGCTCTACCTCCTATCCCCATCAGTGCAGGGAGACAGGGAATAGGGGTTATGGTCAGTTCATCACAAGTTTTTTCTGCCAAGGGAGATTTATTCCCCTTGGCAGAAAAAGAAAAAACTTGCTTAGGGAGAGTTATTTCCCTGCTCCAGCAGGGGTTCCTTCCCATGGGAGACAGTTCTCCAAGAACTTCTCCAACATCTCAGTCTATCTCATGGGCAACAGTTCTCTACAAACTGCTGCCATGTGAGTCACTGTTCATGGGGCGCAGTCCTTCATGGACAGGTTGCTCTAGTGTGGGTCTCCTGCAGCGTCACATCCTACAGGAAACCTGCTCCAGCGTGGGCTCCTCTCTCCACAGGTGTGTAGGTCCCTGCTAGGACCCTGCTTCAGCACAGGTTTCTCACAGGGTGACAGCCTCCTCTCAGACATACACCTACTCCAGCCTGGGGCTCCTCCACCAGCTGCAGGTGGATCTCTCCATCCCCATGGACGTCCATGGGCTGCAGCACACAGCTGCCTTGCCATGGGCTACACCAGGGGCTGCAGGGGAGTCTCATCTCTGGTGCATGGAACACCTCCTCCCTCTCTTTCTGCACTGACCTTGGTGCATGAAACACCTCCTCCCTCTCTTTCTGCACTGACCTTGGTGACTGCAGAGTTGTTCCTCTCATGTGTTCTCATCCTGTTCTTTTCTGGCTGCAGTTTCGTCTGTGGAATCATGTTTTTTCCCCCCTTCTTAAATTCTGTTATCACAGGAGTGTTGTCACTATTTCTGATTAGCCCAGCTTTGGCTAGCAATCCCCATCTGTCTGGGAGCCAGCTGGGATTGGTTCTACAGGGGGTGGAGGAGGTTTCCAGTAGCTTCTCGCAAAAGCCACTCCTGTAGTCACCCCCTTTCCCCAACAGCACAACCTGGCATAATAAAATAAATATTATTGATAAAAACCCCAAAACACTTATCAATTTATAGTTGAGGTGGCAGGCAGCTTTCCCTCTAAGAAAAATTGCACAGTTTGGGATAGATTGCATTTCATTTTTATTTCCTCACTTAGCACTGAAAAATGTTTGTGCTTTATGCTGTAGTAGGTACAGTATTTACACAGCATGTTAATAACTGTGCTTAGGATGTATAGTGCATGTACCTTGCACAGATAATTTGTGCTTAGAGACAGACAGCAATTTCCAACTCCAGGTGTTTCCTCCTCAGTTTTTGCTGCATTTACTAAAGACATTTTGAAATACACACACAGTGTGTATGTGCTAAATATTAATAGCCTGTCCAACTAACCTGAATGAGACATCCCTAGAATAGTGATGTTAGTTTAAAACCTACAACAACAAAACCAAAAAAAATATATATACCCTCACAACAACAACAAAAAATTAAATTAAACCAAAATCAAGGAAATTAAATGTTGTAGAATTGTGTTTGGGTAGGGATTGTTCTGCTACCTTTTTCTATCAATGCACACGTGCACAGCTTGATTAAAATCTGAGAGTAGTTTTAAGTTGTTAGTTTTGCAGGAATTCACATCTTAATCTATTAATTTGTAATGCACAGAATATAACTGAACAGAAATAATGCTTTGTTGTCTTTTCAGAATAGCAGGTAACAGACAACTGATTAGGTTGACAACAACTTTCTTTGCAGTATTTTTTAAGTAAAAGCAAAATGTGAACATAGTAAAAGGGTAAGGGAAGGAAATATTCCCAACATAGAAGCAAATACTAAGAAAAATACCCTGACCTAATTTGAAGAAGCATGAACTGCCTGTAAGTACAACCTTTGTTTAGAAGCCTTCCAAAATCCAAGTTGCTTACATAAAACTCTCTGAAAGAGAATTATTTTTTAACTGTTGAGTACAATTTTTTGTTAGTGGTGAAAGTGGTGAAGCCACTTTGAGAGTATTCTATAAATGTGGACAAGTAGATCTGAAAATCAGTCTGGCCTTCTTAGAACTCACACTTAAAAATGTCCCTTTAAAAAAAAATATTTGAAGGTCTGATCGTATCTGCGTGTGAGAGGATGCAGCTGCTGTAGAGTGTCCTGGTCTGGCTTTATTGTGTGTGAAAGAAGTAAGCATAAATCTGTATTTTATAGTGGGTACATCAGTCAGCTGTTTGTAAAATCGTGTATTGGAAAAGATTAAGATCTCATTAACAGCAGAGCTGCCACAAGAGGGTGCTGTGTCTGTGATTTTCATAGCTACAAAATTTGTACAGATCTGACAACTCCTTGGTCTGAGGGGGTCTCTGAAATTTGAGGGTATTAAGCATACAGACATCCCTGTCTCTTGCACTTTGCCTCTATGTCTTCACCTGGCACCCTGGCTCTTGGAACAAACAGGCTCTGAGGTGAGAGCACCCTGCAGTAGACTAAAACCGGTAACTGCCTGGTGTTCTCCCTTCTGGTCACAAATAAACAGGAAAACACTATGTCTGGGTAAGTTAATGCCTAAAATCCCAACTTAAAACCTGCTGCTTTCAGTAAGATAATGCCCATTTATTGCACTAATTGAAGCACAGTAGTTTGTCTAGTAAACCACAAAGCCTTTACTATTTCCATACATAATGAGAACACTGACTAATGTTTTTCAACTACTTACCCAGGTAAAAACTGCACTAAAGATGCTTTCAGACATGAGGTGTTCTACAAGAGTTCATCTATCATCCCAGGAATAAAGAAAAATAACATGCATGACGTACTAAAAATAAGAGACGGGGTAGTGTCATGTATGGAACTTCATCATGCATGTTCCTGCTTCTTCTAGGAAAATGACATTATTTTTAACACAGCTAAATTATTTAATCTTGTAATAGCAGATGTGCCCATCTCAGTGTCTGACAGAGTAAATATTAAGAAAATAAATCATTCTGTGTGACCCTTGCCAGAATTTTCAAAAGCAACCTCTTACTAAAAGGAGAATTTTAACTTAATGGAGTGAAGGGCTTAAAAAGTTAACAGTTCTTGCATCTTATATATGCAAAAGATGTAAAGACATTTTAAATGTCGTTTACAGAGCCATGATAAAAAAAAAGAGTAGTAAACCTGCTCTTAAAAATAAGTTGGTTTGATTTCATAATCAATTTGATAATTAAAATTCTGTCTCTTTACCCTGCTATCCTTCAGGGAATTTCTATATGTGTCATTCAGAAAATTACTCTGGCAAAGCCTCACCCTGAAGAATGGCAGTCTCAATCTGTAGGAGTATTTCTGGAAGAGGTTTTTCTAGACTGACAGTAATGAAATTTTCTGGTGCACTGGGTGGCTCTAGAGTATCAAACTGAGACTGGAGAAGTTCAAGTGGCATAAAATGACCTCTCCGCTTCTCCAAGCGGGCAGCAATTATGTCCTTAGGTCCATCCAAATGAACAAAGAGGATCTTCAGTGCTGAGTTTTCTCCTGGTTGCTCTGGCTGGTTGCTTTCAATTGCAGATGCTCCACCAATTAACACACTCCTGTACATCTTTTTGAGTGCAGAACAGGCCAGAATTGTATCTTGTCTAGATGTATCTTCTCTATCAAAAATAAAAAAAAAAAACAACCCCAAAAACCTTTACATATCTACATGTGGTATAATAAAAATTACTTGTTAATTCTGCTAAACAAGGTAGACATGCCCTAGCTCCTCAAGAAGGCCAGCTATGGGAGTAGTGGCATTGTGACAGTGGTATTTGAGTAATCTTGACAGGATTTTGAAACCAAATTTCCAGTCCAAGTAAAGATGTGATTTGAAAGTGAGGCCAAGCTAGCCGACCTTCTGATAAAATCTCAGTCTTAGGGACTCTCTCTATAGCCTTTTCTAAGCAACCAGTCTTTTCCTAAATTAAATTCAATTCTAGCACAAGGAAGTGTCAAGCTCATGTCCTTAATTGCTGAGAACAGGAAATAAATATCCATAGAAACACCTATCCCTTATTCATAAAATTACTATACTATTCTCTCTAAGGGTAAATGGCTGATAAGCAACACAGACCACTTAAATACACAATATTTTCAACACCTGCTGTCACTGTCTTAGATTTAACTGTAATTTATGTTTCCTGCAACTCGTTGAAAGCATTGCATCTATATTAACTTCACCCTAAACAAGGGATTGCAGGTCAGTGAGTGCACAGTATTCACTGTATTTATTTTCTGCTGACAAGGTTTCTTCAAGTAAAGCATTTAATTCTGGGTGTGCCTGCTCCACTAAAAAGCAAATCCAGAATTAGTTGTCTCTGTGAAGAGTGAATAAAATTCCTGCCTAAGAAAATATATTTTGTAATAAAATTAAAATCAGGTATACACCTATTTAAAAATCATTCTATGGTCATCAGATTTTGGTTCAAAGGGAAGTAAGAACTTCTAATACCTACCATTATCACCTACGTAAGTCAGTGACAGCCTCAGCTACTAATAAGTACTAATAATTAAATACTGGCATTAGGCTCGTTTAAAATATAGTTGATTTTATAAAGTTTCCAGAGCTGGGCAGTGGCATTGAACTGTCACATAACATGAAGCAATGGATCCAGCAAATCAATCCAGACAAATTTCTCAGTGAGAAATTAGGTATCTCAGCTCCAGTGAGGTATGATCACCTAATGTGCACAAGCAAGTGTAAAGCCTGGCTAAACAGGCTTTACACAACCTCTCAACCTTTTCCGTGTTTGGGACACACTTCAGTCCCTTCATCATGGCTGGATGCTCTCCAGTATGTCCATGCCTCTCTCATAATGAGGAACCCATAACTGACAGAGCAGTTCAGGTGTGGCCTCGCCAGTGCAAAAGGAGAGGGAATGAATCACCTCCTTTGACCTGCTGGCAACACTTTGTCTAATATAGCCCAGAATTCAGGATTTGGCTGGCCTGCCTTGCCAGAAGAGCACATTGCTGGTATATGTCCAGCTGGGGCTGTCCGCCACAGCTCCCTCAGGCCCTTTTCTGCTGCTTTCCAGCTGAGTGTCCCTCACTGTTCATACCAGTACTTGCATTTTTAAAAGGTTCCTACCAATCAATTTCTACAGCCTTTCAAGATCCCTCTGCATCAGTTACTCCTCCCTCCCATTTTGGTGTCATCTGCAAATTAGCAGAGCAACACTCAAGCAAACAAACAGTGTCAAAAAAACCTGACACTGTACCTTATTCAAAATAACAGTATTTTATCCTACTGTTGTTATTGGTGTATTTTGAGGCTATGTTCTTTGTAAGTAGCTAATGTCAGGCTTATTAATAAACTGGATCCTTGCAATTATTTTTACACAAATAGTGGAAAACAACCATCATTTGCAACAATTTCCCATTTTAATTCTCAGAGATTAGCTCACCATCAGCAATTACTATGACAGTTTAGATTAGTAAAAATAGAATGACTTTACTATCTGCAGAATTTCTTTACACTACCACTTACATTTCTGCTTTGCAATGCAGTGGGGAAAAACACTTCTGGTACTTCTGTCTTTAGCTAAAACATTTAAACACTAGATATTCTCTTACCTCCTTAGTATATCATGCAGTGCACAAAGCCAAGGAATCCTGTCCTAGAAAGCAAGCAAGTTAGTTAGTTAAAAATTCTTCAGAAATTACTTTGAAACAATTGCTTCTAGCATCTCAAATATTTGACAAGAGGTAAATATTAGCATTAAACTGTACAGCAAGTTCAGTTTTGAATCTCTTTGTTCCTATATAGATTTGTTCCCACTGCCTGAAGGCTAATAAGAAGTGCTAGGCATATTATGAATAGGACACTTTTGGTGCAATAGTAATTTTTATTTTACAAGTATATGATGGAAGTAATACGTATGCAAGTGCAGCATGCACCATGTAAATATCTGAAGGACAATCAACTTACTTGCTTCTGTTACACTATTCAAATGTACAGCTAGAGTTATTTCTTTTCCCTGATATAGTGTCATACACACACCCCATCCCCATTTTGGATCCAAGTTGAAGCTTTCAGAAACAGATCTAAATTAGGTTATCTGCAATAATTATATTTATGTCAGTAGCACTCACAAATAAATGTAACCACAGTCACAATTTCTCAAAACTGTTGCCCATTACTTAAGTAAACATGAGTGATCAGTCAGATGCTTACTTAATCTGAGATTTTAAGCTGCTGCAAACTTCAGTCATGCCTAATGAGCACAAAACAACTGCTCCCATTTAATGTTTCAATGCTGTTAGTGCTGGGTAAGCACAACAAATGGTAACATGGACAAATAAATGTAACAATTTTTTGTTGCTATCATTACACAGTAACTTCCCCTAGGCATTCAAGAATGCCCTCACAATTTTGCACCTCTCATTTTTCAGAAGAGATGCTTTCTTCTTGCTGAGCACCACACACCAGTGCTTTAGTCATTCAAGTGTATAATGCTGCTACAGATGATATCATCAGTTTTATCAGTATCTGAATGAAGGGTATCAACAGCATGCATCCAGACTCTGCTCTGGCTTCAACCACCAGTGAAAGATCTAAGTTTTTAACCAGAATCTAGAAATTTTTTTCAGTTTAAATTGGCTAAGGACATCTCCCAGAAGATTTGAGGGACTAAAAAAAAAAAAAAAAAAGAGTGGAAGCCTTGCCAAAAAAAAAAAAAGGTAGGTGTGCAAAATTTTTCTATTACAGATAGATTCTTGAAATCTTTTTCAAAATATCCTATTACTGCATCTTGCCCCGCTTCTAAGGTCCGTATGCTTTTAGACTGATTTCATATGTTCACCAGGATAGTTTTGTTTATATTCTTTCTTTAAAAGTCTTTATCTACAGTCATAAGTGTGTATTTCTCTAGAAGTAGTGGACATTAACTTTTTAAATTCTTCCTGATTCTGTACAGGAAAAGTGGCTTTAACTGTAAAACCACTGTCCTAACTGATGGCAAATGGAAAAATCCTTTTTCAAGCTGTACCATTATGCTATTAGTATTTCAAGCATTGCCAGCCCATCAAGGGGTGGGATTGTTCTGCTCTGCTTTGCACTGGGGCAGCCTCACCTTGAGTCCTGTGTGCAGTTTTGGGCACCACAATATAAGAAGAATATGAAAATATTAGAGAGCATCCAAAGGAGGGCCTTGAGGATGCTGAGGGGTCTTGAGGGGAAGGTATATGAGCAATGGCTGAGGTCACTTGATCTGTTCTGCCTGAAGAGGAGACTGAGGACAGACCTCACTGAAGTTATAACTTCCTTGTGAGAGGAAGAGGAGGGGTGGGCACTGATCTCTCCTCTGTGGTGACCAGTAACAGGACCTGAGGGAATGGCCTGAAGCTGTGTCAGGGGAGGTTTACATTAGATATTAGAATAAGGCCCCACCCCCGAGGGTGGTTGGGCACTGAAACACACTCCCCAGGGAAGTGGTCACAGCACCAGCCTGACAGAGTTCCAAAGCACTTGGTCAGTGCTATCAGACACATGCTGCAATTCAGGCTTGGAAAAGACCTTTAGGATCATCAAGTCCAACCTTTGACTGAATACCACCATGCTAATTAAATCATAGCTCATAACCAAGTGTCTATTCGTTTTTTTTAAACACTTCTAGGGATGGTGACTGCCATTTTTCTGAGCAGCCAATTCCAATGCTTAGCCACTCTTGCAGTGATGATGTTTTTCCTAATACTCAACTTGAACCTCCCCTGGCACAACCTCCCAATTTAACCACGAGTGGTGATAAATTATCAAAAGTGATTTGAGAGAAGGGTAACAAATTTTTGGAGTTGTTTCAAGCAGGGCCACGCAATGGATTCTATGGTTCTTGTGGGTCTCTTCCAACTCAGAATATTCTATGATTCAAATCCAAAACTGCAACTCTGTGTGTGGACTGTAGAGGGGGAAATTTCTCACAAATCCTGAAGCAGCAGCATACATACCACTTTCGAACTGACAAGCATTTAATAATCTACTTTTTAATGCAGAATCTTTTTTGATAAAAGAAGCCTCCCTTACCTTAGCAAATGCTGACCTGTGTTTACACTTAGACTAATCTACGTAGTACACCACAATCTACTTCAACAAGATGTGCATGAAGTTACAGAGATAAATGTGTGGACAACAGTTTTTTCAGAGCTTATTCAAGGTACCTCATCGTTTAGTGGTATCCCTTTTTCCATTTTCTTCTTATTCTCTAGAGGATGATAATCGTCTGCATCGTAGAATTTCCATCCCAACTAAGAAAAAAAATAAATTCATTATATATCGTTCAGCTAGGTCAGGTGAGGCAACAAGGACTTCAGAATTTACAAAGACGACACCGATGAAATTACAGGCTTCTTGCACCACAGTATGAGTCACCGTTTATAGTATGATGATTAGCCAAAAAAAAAAAAAAAACAAACAAGAAAAAACACTAAGGCAGCTTGGTAGCAGCAACAGCTGTTGCATCACGGCACTGAGCCGAAGTCCGTGCAGGCACCACTGCCCCAGCCGAACCCGGCTGGGGAGGCCAGCAGCCCGGGGGAAGGCCGGCGGCCCAGCGCGGGGAGGTGCCTGCCCGCCCCAGCACGCCTCCCAGGTGGCGGCTCCACACGCCCCTACCTTCTCAGCCAGCCGCGACCCAACCGTGGTCCTGCGGGGAAGCACAAAGGGCCGATTAACACCCGGACCGGAGCCGCACCGCGGGGCTCCGGCAGCGCCGAGTCCCCGGCTGCGCCGCAGCGCCGCCGCTGCTCCGCCCCCCGCCCGGTACCTACTTCCCTGAGCCGCTGACGCCCATCACCACCACCAGCACCATGGCGGCCGCCGCGCTCTGCCGCTGCTCTCTGCCCTGCTGCGCCGCCGCCCCGGCCCGCCCTCGCTTCTGCCGCGGGAAGCGGGTGCGGCCCGCCCGGGGCGGCCCCAGCACGGCCCCAGCGCCCCGCCTGCCCCGCCTGCCCCCGCCGCCGCCCCGCGCCGCTGTCCGGGACCGTCCGCTCCCCTTCTCCGGGAACCAGAGACACCCGTGTCGTGTCCCCCGCTCTCTTTTCCCCCAATGGCTCCTTGTGCTGGAAGTTACCTGATCATCTTCCGAGCCCTCTTTGTCTGAGGCTTTTCAGTCTGGTAGGGCGTTTCTCTTTCAGCTGTTCCTAGCACGGTACTCACTGTTTGCAGCCTCAGCAACACAGGCGAATTTAACAGAAAAACAATAATTTCTGCAGTGCTTTTATTATTAAGTGCACATTTGTACCCATTGAATTCTGTATTACCCTTTGATGATGAAGGTCTGCCTTTGGAATTTATTTAAGGCATCAGCTATGCAGTGACTAATGCCATTTTAGTATTTATTAAAGCCTTGATCCAGTCATATTTTTAAATCACTGAATTACCTGGTGGGTAAGGCTGGGCAGGACCACTGGTGGGGTCACCTGAACCCTCCGGCTCAGGCAGGACCCCGTAGAGCACATTAGGATTCTGTCTAGGCTGCTTTTGATTATCTCCAGTGAGGGAGACTCCACAACCTCACTGGGCATCCTGTTCCAGTGCTTGGTCACCTGCACAGTAACAAAGTGCTTCCTGATGTTTGAATGGAACTTCCTGTGTTTCAGTCTGTCCCAGTGCCTCTTGTCCTATTGCTCAGCACCATCCAGCAGAGTCTGGATCCATCCTGTTGATACACTCCCTTCAGATACTGATAAACACTGATGAGATCCCCTCTCAGCTGTCTTTTTTCGAGGCTGAACAGGACCAGGTACCTCAGCCTTTCCACGTAAGAATGACCTAGTCCCTCAATCATCTTTGTAGCCCTTTGCTGGATCTGCTTCAGGAGCTGCATGACTCTCTTGTTCTGTAAAGCCTAGAACCAGACATGGCACTCCAGATGTGGCCTCACCAGAGAAGAAGGGCAAGACTGCGGAAAATTGTGAAAATTTTCTTATATAGCAAGTATTCTTGCTATTACTGTGTATATAAATATGACCTAGCAATATTTTCAAAGCTCTGCAAGGATCAAACGCAGTGATGCTGCCGAACAGCGTTGAAGTTCACCTGTGCAGTGGAGAAGCATCTGCTGCACCTGTAAGAGCTACTCCACCCAGTGACGGTGGCTTCAGGAGATCACAATGTGTGCCCCCTTCATATTTTTTACATCAATCAAACCTTGGAATAAATTCTCAGAACATACATTAAGTCTCCCAGTCTGCATGAAATTTTAGTCCTTTGCATGGCACTCCAAATAACATTATGAATGATACATGTATCTCTTTTTTTTAATTGTTACCTGTCTCTGACCATTTAATTGAGATCTGGAATTTCATATACCTATTTCACATACCTATTAAGAAATTCTTAATGAAGACCAGAACCTTCAACATTATTAAGCTGTTACTGAATCAGGCCAGTTCTCAGATTACTAACAGACTACAATGATTTCTTTAAGGCGCCATGAGACTGGATACATATTTTGCTGTAGTAGGTTATGATTGTGCTAAAGTAATTGAATTTGCTTACATCTTTTTCATTTGTTGGCTTATCAATTATGAGACAGGAAAAATGCTTAATTTGGATGAGAGTTCCTGGGAGATCCAAATAAACAAGCTCAAAAATACCAGCGGTCACTTTGACCCTGGAAGCATCACAATTGCTACTTGCATTCCCAAAATTAGAACTTTTAATTGCTCTGTCACAGTAATTCCTCAGATTTTGCTAACATGAAGAGCAACTGACTACCCTGCCTACAGTGCACACTCAATGTCTTTTGTTGTAACCAGCTTTAACAAGCTTCACTCTTTAATACCTTTTCATCCTTAATATCCCCGCATTTTGCTAAAAGAGCCATGTTAGACTGGTGTGATGTTACCTAATAGCTATTTTATATCCTTTTTGTGCAGGAAGTTGTGCCAGGGGTTCTCTTTTACTAAATCCCAGGAAAACATAACATTAACATGCACTGGCAGAGTTTGCATGCGCTGTACGGACAGCAGTGTGCTCTGCAGATGCTGCTGCAGGAAGGAGAACAAGATCTGGAGAAAGCTGATTGAATTGTGCAAACACTAGAGCCTATAGGCAATGTGAAGCAGGCGATTACATTCAGACTTTCTGCTTGTGTGGCTGATCTGATTTGTGCAGATATAATTCATGTTTCTAGTCAACTGGAGAGATGACTGGATAAGACTCAGCCAAATGGTTGACTTAACAGCATCAGTTACGCATTTAAGATATGCTTAAGATGTAGATCCAATAAAATATGTGGATTGTTTTCATGTGAGGGAGGATTTTCCTTTCACTCTGTTGTAGTCATAGAACTATTAAATATTTTTACACTTACTATTTCTTTAATAACATGGAAGAGTTTCATATTAGTCTTCATCATTTAGTGATATATATACATCCTAGGAAATTTGTCCCGATGCTTATTCTTTAAAGATCTTTTCCTGGAGGTGGCATGGGTGCCTTCTCCTTATAATTTAAATTTATTTTTATTTCTAATGTTGTGAGAATGTAGAACTTGATTCCGAATCTCTGATGTAGCTGTATAAAAAATCTTGCATGGTGTCATGAGTTCCAGAGTACATTCACTTAGCTGAAATATGGAATGTAGAGGTCATCTGATGTTTTATTTATTTTATTTAGTAATAGGTGAAATTACAATATAATGGTGAAGGATAAATATTCTAGAATGAAAAGCCAAAAACCTCAAGAATACCTTCCAGAAAACCCATCAAGTACTTCTCAGCCCCAAAAGAATTTTCCAGATACTGTACTTTTAAATACTTTTTAAAATGGCAAGTGGTATATTTTATGGCTATTGGGAGTATTTTCAGTGTCTTTCTGAGCCTTTCTGGTTTGACTAATTGACTAATATTGAATTTATGGAATTCAGTAAAACTTCATCTTCTTCTTGAATTAGCTGCTTAATTTTAGAGAAGGGTAACATGAAATATGAATGAGAGAATTAATTTTTCTGGAGTTATTTCTATTTGCCTTCACTATATCTATCTCCTTCCTGTGGATACTCAGAAATGTCTGTTTTATTCAGAATATTGCCAAATTCAAGGTAGAAAAAAACATTCCCATGATAATTCCTAATGGAAACTTATCGCAGTATAAAAGGTGAACTACTGTAAAACTGCACAGGCCTCTTAAAGCTTTCCAGGGGCATCCATTGTCATGGACATCTGCTTCTTATAAAAGTGAGGACTCAGATACATTAGTAATCTGAGCTTCCTTAATCTTAAGGGGAGTAACACTGTTCTTCAAGCAGCTAAGGCCCAAATTTATGGAGTCATTTTAGGGGTTCAAATCAAATCCTGAATATGCATTGATAGCATATCCAAGGCAGAGGGTGTTAATACAATATGTTGACTCTGAGGAGAGTAGCTGAAAGAAGCTCTACTGTGGTGTTCTGTTGGTCACAGTTAGTCCTCATTGTGAAGTAAGTAATCATCAAATTACAGGTTTGTTGATTGGAACCTTACCAACAATTTTCAGAATTTGTCCTATGCTATGCAAAGTCAGTCAATATATTGTCTGAAGTTCTTTCTCAGGAGGATTTAGTGCATAATGGCTTTCTGCACCCACCAGAATTTGCCAGTACTGAGGAAAAAAAATCATCAATTTGGTAAATGAGCCAAAGTTTCAGACATTTGGGGTGAGTAAATCAAACTAAAGCTGTTAAATGTTTTTAAAATCACGTTAAGTATTTTTATGTATTAACTCATCCCCTTTTTTAATACTGAAACTCAGAGCTGATTTTCACAAAATAAAAAAAGAACATTGTAAATAACTCTTCTTATTTTTCCAGTCTGCAGTACAAACACAAACAAACAAATAAATAGGTAAGAGGGAATGGGAGCAGCTTTTCTTTGTTGCTTGTGACACAAGTTTGTTCTCAGTTTGGTTCCAAGTCTGTAGGAATGACAAAATCTTCTGAGCCTAGTTATAGGTAAAAGAGGAATGCAGTTCTTCATACCATACTACAATCTGATCATGTTGTAGCTCACTAATTTCTGTACAGAGAAGCCTATGAACACATTTATCTAAAGTTTAAATACATATAGCTCTAAACAGAGAAGCTATTGTTAAATGATTTAAATTTTCCTAACAACAGCAAAGGAAATGCTATGATTTGCTTGTAACAGCTAGCTGATTGACTTTCAATAAAATTGATGTAGATAAGAAACGGAAAATTACTTGGGTTTTTTACATGGCTGTTCCTTAGATTTTGAAAAATTTTCATTTTATGGACTTGATTTGATTTGTGTAATCATATTTAATTCTTTCAATAACAACTCAGGTTTGCATATACATTCTACCAATTTTGTATAATAAATCTCAGTGTTTTACCACATAAAAATTTCTTCATGTGATGTGACCAAAATCAGTGGATTAGCATAAATACTCCAGAGAAGTGCTCAAAAAAGCAAAATTGTTTGAAACACTTAGTTTATAATATAAAATTTTATTTATTTGCCATGTGGAGAGTATAAAACATGTGAACATTACAATAATTTCAGTCCAGTGTAGCAATAGAGCTGCAGTAGTGTGACCCAAAAGTGACGGGGAGAGGCAGGGTGTTATGTGTGACACTCAGAGCACAGCTCAGGAAAATACATGGATTTTTCTGCCTGGGTGTGGAAGGCTGATAGCAGAGGTAGTGCACAGCTACTGCTTGCAAGCCACAGTCACATACAGTCAGGAATAATTTCAGTGTTACTGTAGGAAAAAACTGGAAATAAAGAAGACCACAGAGTTACAGAAAGACTATTTTCTTTATTCTCCTCAAAAAGAAATCAGGCGGAGCTGAAAAGAGCATCTGGGAGAGTTTTACTGTTTCTATTCCACTCCATGTGAGAATAACAGTTGCTTCTACAGGAGTATTTTGTTGCTTTAAAGATTCTGGCCTCCACTGGAAGAACAGGTTTTGCAACAGATTAATTATTTTATCTTCTCATCTTGCACTTGTCTCGTAAGACCCAGGATGGAAAAGTTATGCAGTCTATATTTCAACATCACTTACAATACCAATAGTGTGTGCTGATGTAGAACCATTAATTTTGGAAGCACTCAAAGCATTAGTAAGATGGAGCCACCCACTGGCTTTATAAAGTGTCAGGGAGAATATGAACCTTAAAATGCTGCTTCTGCAAGCAGGTAATAAGATTACTATTTCTGAGCTTTTTCTAT